ATTGTTTGGACTGTAGTCATGGCACCAGCTTTGTGTTCGCCGTGCCGTCGAGAAGTTGCTGAGATTCCATCGAGACGGATAATGAAGTGCACCAGGTGGTTACAGGATCCAGTGTGTGTGAGTGTGTATGGGGGGTGTCACATTAAAGCCAGCTGGTGTTGTAGATGTGACTCACGCTCTGCACTTTGTTTTATAAGTGGCCACATATTTCTACCCACATTGCAGGGTTATACTAAAGGCCCATCCTTTGTCAAACAAAGATATGTACTGACTCATTAGTTTAATTATTGATCTGAAGCTTTGCTCACAAGTATTATCTCAATTGTCAGCTGCTTCGTGTAACCCAACAACCATCTAAACAACCTCACTGAAGGCTTCATTAGTCTCCTTGTCAAATCACCACGCTGCGCCACCAACATATCCTGACTATTTCTATTTCTTTCCTTTATAACCAATATGCTGTCACTGTTCACCCCTTCATTTCTCTCATTTCAAACTGTTTTTCCCCCCAATTGCTTGATAACAAATGACTTGAGAAATTGTTCCACCAATTTTTATCTGGATGCACCCAACTCATACGGTAATGGCATAAATATGCACAAATTCACAAAATTTGATAATCTTTTTTCACCTTTCCTAAATTGAGAATCATCTCAGGACCTCTCAGGTTCGTGTTGTGATCCTGCCCCCGTCTCAGGAACCACAGGTCTAAAACAGAGTACTAAGAATTGGCTGCCACTGTTTTGCATATTGCACTGAATGTTAAAGCTGTACTGTTTTTGTCAACAGCAGCTTTTTTATACATGTTTGTAAATTCTATACCATGTCACATTAAGCAGTGAATATTAAATGTATAGAATAAAGTCCCAAAAGACAAACATCACTTTTGTTAGATACAATTTTCTTTCTAAACAAACTGTAAATGATTTAATGAATGAATAGTAGCATTCATTCGTATATAATGTTTGTTTATCCAACCATTTATCCAGACTGTTCTTGAGGACAGACGACAGACAATGACAACTCATCTGCTCCACTCCACAAAGTGTGAGCAGTTTATTCTTCCAACACATGGTTTTTGAGTGAGAAATATTGAGGTCATGATATCGTGGGAAAATTACAACACAGGAAATTCCAGTGGAGCTTTCCTTCAGATCTGACCATGGGATTTTTACTTTCTCTCTCACTTTTCCCACTCAGAAGGTGGCGAGACCACTGGGGCACAGTTTCCCTGAAGAGAGTGAGTGCATGATTAGTCTCACAGGCAGGCACATTCTTGTCCGACTGACAACCCACACATGTGCACGTATATGCGCAACTGAGCGTATACACACTGAGAAATACACACACTAACAAAGTACCAAGTCTGTGGTGTGTTCCAAGTGATTCATGCTGGTTTTCTCCAATCGAGGACAAATGTGCTCATGGACATAATTCACCCTGTTCCAAGTTTGGTTTTGTTTTTCTCTGAGGAATCTTAATAGTGAAAACAGGAGATAATGTCATCTGGCTATGCATTTATTTACATTTTCTATACATGTAATGTTGCCTCTTATGAATTGTATAAACACATCTTAAAAACAGTTTTAGCCTACTATATCAGAAATGATGAATGTAAACAGAAAATACATACTGCTCCTTGTTAGACAGCTAATTTCAGACAGCTCATTCAATTCTGGGGTAAACATGAACAACCAAAAGCCCACTGTAGTGTTAACGATTAGGTTCAACCTGAACTGTTACATTGTTTGACCTCTTGGGGGCAGGTGTGAGCAACTTTCAGGCCTATGCCACAAATTGTTATTGGCGAACGTGTTAGCAAACACTTGCCAAATTTAGCATTCATTTGTTTCTCTTTGAATCTAATAGTTGCTCTTCATTTTGCTCTGTTTTGGTCTCCACCGACTCCAGAAGGAAATATCTTTCTTTCTCGGTGCTTAATTTTTCCAATGTGTTCAAATTGTGTACAATAGCTCTGTTAGAGTTTGTTTTCTGGGGCCAAAGTGCTACAGTCAACTTAAATTTGATTTATATCATGTGGAATGTGCTTTAAAGCTGAATACATTCACACTGCTCTATAAATCTGAACACAGCAGACTGCACCTCAGATATTAGTTAACCATGACACACTTTCTCAAGGTGCTACTCAGTTTGATATTGGCCAATGCAAAATGAAATAGTCATAGTTTACTCAGGGAGGTTGATGTAATTCAACTGAGTCATAAAGTTAATAACATCTCCATGATCGTATCACAATCAATTATCTTGAGGACGTTTGGAGAGATTCATTGATTTGTATTGCCTAATTCCAAGCCTTTATTTGCAAAAGGAAGGTAGACTGAGCATCTTTGCCCTTTTCCTGCTCTGCATCACACTCATTACGTTCTCTCCTGGGAACTGACCGTGTCACTGCTGACTGCTGCTGCTGGCTGTTTATCATCTCCATGAGAGACGTAGGTTCAGGAGGCTGACTCCTCTTCAGGGAAGAGGAAGCAAATATTAACTTTCCCTGCACAGATTTTCCCAGCTGTTCCTGGGGGTTGAACCAGGACCCCCTGTCACAGTCTTGTCTGGAAGAAGAGCTTTTCTTGGCTTCTGCAGCACCATCTGAGACCGGCACGAACACTCTGTTTGGCAAACAGTCTCCTTCACTTTCTTTCATTTAGAATTTATACACAATACATATACTGTAATATATAAATTGATCAATGGCACTCTTATATCTTTAGTCAAGAATTTGAATACCGCTTGGGTTGGTAATCCTGAAAAAGTTAGCAAGAGCAGGCAAAAATGCAACTAATCCATCCCAGCCCCTCCCATCAGCCCTCTTATAAAAACTACACTAGAAGCTGACTTCTGAGTAACTCAACGTTGGACTTTGGACTTTGGTCGTTGGCTTTTTTAATTATTTAATATATTGATATAGTTATATGAGAAGATAAAAAGAGTTTCCGAAACAACTGACCAACCCAAACTTTACCTATAGTTGAAGCTAACAACAGAGATCCCAGTAAGTAACTTTAAAGCTATAAACCTTCATCATAACTATCAATACTACCATGACAGTCACAAAAACAACCATGCTATAACTTAGTTAGTTCCTGACCTTTAAGCTCCATGGTCATTTGGTCAGTGGTTGTGTCGACCTATAGGTTTGAACTGAACGAGAGTGTTCAAACCAGAAATGATCTGAACCTGAAGTCTATTATAAACAGCAGCACAATGTTGTGGAGTTATGAATAGTGATCATGTGATCTTTCCACCTCACCCCAAAGGTATTCATTAAAAGTTAAGGACTGTGCAGGCTAATCAACAAAGTGCAGGAGCCAGATTATATTTGTGCATTGACAAACAGGAGGCGGGTCTTCCTCAAATATCCAAATAATTAGTGTAAGCCTGTTAGTTTTCTCTTTTTTGGAAAAACCTTGCTTTCTTTCCAAGATGTGAGAAGATTGATATCCTGTTAAGCCTATATGCAAAACATGAAGCTAGAGAAAGAGGGAGACATGGAGAAACAGCCTGGCTCCGTTCAAAAGAAAGGAAATCTGCAACACCTTGAAAACCTCATCAACATGCTGCATCTCAATTGTTTATATGTCAGTAAAATGATAAGTTGCTATATTACAAGATGTTATGTCTCCTTTTCTGTACGTTATCAAGATGAATATATATTGAGGTTTAAATATGATTTAAACCATATGGACTAAATTATGGATGTTTACCTTGTTTCCCTTGGATTTGCATCGCTGGAGTTGTGTTCTGTGTTTGGTTATTTGTTCAGAAGTCTTTGTTTCCTGTTTCTTTTGGAAACTCCTTGTGCATCTCCATTACATTACCTCCATCCTTGTCCTATTTCCTGCCCTTGTGATTGTCTGGACCTGTCCTCATGTGTTTCGCCTGTGTTCAGTTATCTCTGTGTTTAGAGTCTCTGTGTTTCCCTTTGTCTTTGTCAGGTTGTCTGTTTTTTTCCTCATACTGTATCGCAGTTCAGTTTTCATTTATGTATTTACTGTTTGCCTCTGGAGACCGTGTGCGTGTTTTGATTTGTTTTTTCTCATTAATTCATGTTCAGAAGCCGAAGCTTTCGTGTCTCAGCTAAATCAGTCACAGTCAAGTGAATTTGAAAATACCGGTAAATGCTGAAATCACACATTTTGTACACAACACATAACAGCCATGTTTATACTGTTTGAATGAGGAAAATTACTTGATTACAAAAATAATCTTTTTTTCTTTTAAGTCTGTGAATCAAAATCCTAACCCTTGGAAGAAATGCATCATCTATGTTTAACACACGTGTCACTGTTAGATACAGTATTTAACGCTGTAATGAATGACGGTAAGGTGTATAAAGGTCCCGGCAGACTATAATTTCAGTGTATATGTGCCAGCTCGCAGTTAAATTACACAGTGTGTCACAAGCAGAGGCCTGGAGGAGCTGAAAGACGTTTCAGACCTGTTCTCACCAAAGCCCATTACTCAGGTACGACTCCCCTGAACAAAGCAGACAGCTGAGTTTGGGTAATGGGCTTCAGATGAAAATTTCTCATCATTGTGGGATGAATTGCTGCCGACTGAAGTGTTGTTGAGAGGTTGAGAAGAAGCAACCTGAGGGCCGCGGTCGCTGCATTTCATCAGCTCCCAGCACAGTGACAGAGAAAGGGATGGGGAGCCTGTGTGCCTGCTAAACACTTTCTCCTGAGATCCATTTGCACATGTTCTTTACATTATTAAAGTCTTGGTAGAAATAATAAGCAGTGAAGGAGGTAATAGGATCAAAACAATATTAAAAAATATATCATTAGTTATCATTTAAGTCTCAAGTAAACGTTTTGACTCAAGGGAAATAATTGACTTCTTTACGTTGGTCTGAAGGAAATTGCTGAGAATTTCAATTCCATCGAGCCTGCACACTGCTGCTGTTATCAGACGGAAGGACGCACCCACAAACAGACGCGCGCGCTCTTTCTTACTCACACACGCACGCGCAGTAACACAACTTCAGCCCTTAAACTTGATGAAGTTTCCCACTGAACTTTACATTCAGCGCGGATCAGTCCTCAGCTCAGCAGCATGGCTCTATCGGGCAAGTGGTGGATTCTGTGCGCGCTCTCGCTCTCCTGCGTCGCCCTCTTCGGCTCCTGCAGAAGAGATAGACAAGGTAAGATGACTGAATTGGAAATAAATGTGTGCGCGGATTACTATTTTAAGCGTGTTCACAGTTCCTCTCAAATACGACGGCAGTGGGGCAAAGTTTTCCTCCTGAAACTCGTGCGTAAAATGCGTAAAGAGGCAGAACTTTGGGCATGTTCACTCTCTGAACTTCAGTTTATTCTTGTTTGAAAGCGGTTATTAGTCTGTCAATTTGTTGCTGGTGTTATTGTTGGTATAATACACAATTGCTTGCATTACTATGTGTCTGTTAAACTAAAAAAAAACATTTCAAACTGAATAATTACGCGTCAGGAAGACTCGTTAAACTTATTCAGTCTCTGTAAATAATAACTTTATAATGTACTTTAGGCGATAATTATATAGACACGCTCCCACATTCTTAACAGTGGTTAGTGAAATCCTGCTCTGTCTCTCTCACCACAGTCATTGCAGGGCACGGTTTGTTGTGTTGTGCTGTTGTGAGGCCCTTTTAAGTCCTCATTAGTGTGGGGAGAGGTGGTGGCGTCATTCGAGGCCAAAGTCCAGATCGACAGCACTTCTCACTGCGGCCACGACCCACACCTGAACCGCCTGGCACCTCCTTCTGTCCCGTCATGGCGCAACAGCAGCCTGCAAGCAGTAATGAGGCTGCAGGGATTGGGTGTCACATACATTCACAAACTGCAGAGAGCTGAGTGAACCGGAGGCAGCTGTGGTCCAAAGTGGAGGAGAAACTGCAAAACTTCTCTCTCCTACTTTCCTCCATCCCCGAGAGCAAGAACTGAGCTTTTTTTAATGAAAGTTAATTAAGAGGAAAGTAAAGAAAGTTCATTTGGAGAGTGCAGGGTCAGATGCTGGCCAAAGGCAGAGGAGAGGGCTGGTTCACTGTATGTCTGTAGTGTTTTTCTCCTCTTATCTCTCAGTGACATACAGGCAGTTTTGTGCATCATTTCCCAGGATGAGGGAACAGACTATGAGCAGAATGTGTGATAAGCCTGAAAACCATATGGAGACCAAATATAAAACATTTCACAAACAATTCCCGAAAGCTTCATCAAGAAGTAACAACAGTAAGATGGTCCTTCATGCTTGACTGCATTCTGGTCACCGCTGTGAGGGAGATATCAAGTCCTATGTGACACCCCAGGCCCACCAGGGGTTTAAAACACTGAGGGCTCCACTGGCTGCTCCCACGTTGTGCACAGTGTGTCCTGTTGTTTTAAATGACCTCTTCACTAAGCCTGGGCAACAATATCATAATATATATAAATAGATATATAGTCTATATATTTCAATATGTTAATGCATTGTGTAAGCACAGTGAGGACACACAACACTTAATTAATCGACCTCAGATTTATAGTGTTTTTTCCTGTTTATCAAGTGTTTATCATTCTCTGTTCATAAATAACTATATTTAAACTCAAAAAAACAATCTGATTGATATCAACTGATATGAAGATGTTATCACAATATAATTTTTTTGGCCCAGCCCTACTGTTCAGGTTCAATGCACAGAAGCTCCACATGGCAGCCTTGTGATATTCTGAACAATGACCAAAAATACATCATTCCTGTTTGGTAGGTTCGATCTATTGAATCTGACATAACCACACTGACTAAATGCGGGTTGGGCTCACGAGTCCCATTCAAAATCTAATTAGGGGATTAGCAGCAACCTGGTTGTTGTTGTACAACACTATAGTTACAGTTTCCTACAGAAAAATACTGCTGGACAGGTTTTCTTATCCTCACATAACTCAGCAAAAGAACTGGTGTTTTATATACATTTGCTAAATAATGGTGAATATTAAAAGTGCTAGTATATTGCTCTTGTCAAATAGAATGGAGCTAGTGTTAAGGATCATTGGTTGGGTTGGCAGAGTCCAAAATCCTGCTTTTCATATATTCATAGGGATTTTATTCCAGAGTTCCCATAAAGTTTGTGAAGAGACAGTTATTGATTGGTGGATATGAGGGTCTTAGCTGTACTGTATAAAAGATGGAAGTTCTGTATTAAAGGCTGTGTGAGGCCATGCAGGGTTTTAAACACAACTAGGAGGATTTGTAAGTCAGACTGAGTCAGTGGTGAATAGAGGCTGCTACAGGTGATACCGTTTGTTCCCTTTTGTTCATGTTTTCATAAGAGTCTGGCTGCTGCATTATGTTCCATTGTAGGCATTAAATAAAACCTTGGTCGATCCAAAATATAATAATAATATAATATATATATATATATATATATATATATATATGTATATATATATTTATATAGCAGAACATGTGTCTAATGTGAAAATATTTTATTTTACAATGTATTTGAGCCATATTCACTTAAAGGCTGAATATTTTCACACCTTAAACATCTCAATTTTTCATCTCAGGGCAAAAATAAATGGTAACAGCTAGAACTAACCTTCTTTTTGAAACCAGAAAGCTGAGGCACTTGTCTTTCACCTCATCACATTGTACACTTGAAGTTGTTATGTTATGTGTGGCGTAAAATGTGGTAGCAATGGGTGGTGGTCCCAGGGGGTTTTTCTAAAATGGTTGAGGGTGAAAGTTATTCATCCCGTTCAAATCGATATAAAATGAAAAATAAAATGAAAAGTATAATGGGAGAGAAATGGGCACATCTCAAAGACTGAAAAATGTGCTTAGTTCAAACAACTTATACAAGAAAAATGTTGTTAATGTTTCTATATTTACAAATCTTTTGGATCAGAGTAGAAGAGTTAAGTGATATGAAGAATTTGATGAACATCATAAAAAAGCAAAAATACCAATGCAGACAATTTCTATTGCAGTGTTCAGAGGATTAAATAGTCCCCAAAAAAAAATGGAGCCTCCTGCCAGTGTCATAAAAGCACATTACTATTTGGCAGTTGTATTTGTTATCCCTCTGAGATAATTGTAAGAGAATAAAAGCCGTGAGTACAAACAAGGGGGCAGGCTGTTTGGCTACTTAGTTCACAGTGGCCCTCAGAAAGCTTTGTTCACAGAGGAACATTAGTTTTTACTATTTGTGTATCATTTACTGTAGGAGCTCCTGAGAGGTAAAACACCAAGGCTCTCGCTGAGGCTCTTTGAGACGTAACATCAGCATCAGTGTTGCACGGTCCTCGTAGCTTCACTAATCGTCTCACGCAGGCATAAACACTCTGTCTCATTAATTTGCGGAGAAATTTAATTAGACGCTCACTTGCTGTTTGAAGTGGTCCTTTTCTTAGGGAGCCTCCGGCCACAGCGGGGGAGGAAACCGTGTAGCATGGTGCCATCTTAATTAACAGAACAACACTGACCAACACTGTCACTAAAAACCACTTTGCCATTCAGTGACTGTAACTGCAAAGTGCAGATGCTAATTATTTGGTGTAGGTTAACGTCTCCTGGACTCACTGATGTTAGCGGCGCTTAATGAAAAGACTTGATGAACTTTTCTCTGAATCACACGCTTCACATTTCGCTGTCTGTCCTGTGTTTGCACACGCACCCGCTCTCAGATTCTATTTGAGTTCAGCTTTTGCCTGTGGTGCGTGATGTTTGACGAGTCTTGTTTGTTTTCTCCACTTTTAATTAATACTTATTATGTATTCTGAGGTTTTTGTTTGCCATGACAACACATGAAATAATTTTTCATGAATGGAGTCTTTGTGGTCTACACATCTAACAATCCTCGTATAAAAACTACAGACTTGAGTCAGAGTTTAGTCACAGTAATGATGTTTTACGGCTTCGCTCGGACTCATCCGCTGTGAGACATGACTGCTTTAACACTCGACTTGACCCGAGGCCTGAAAGGATGAGGACACTTGACTTGTAGATTGGAAAAATGCTCCACAGTGGGTGGTTTTGACTTTTGCTGTGCTGCTGACATAAAAGGGATTTTAAGAACATCTCGATAACATCATATGCACTCGCAGTGGCCGCTGCTGGCAGCACATTTAAAGAGAGAAAACAGATTAGAAAATGCTCAGTGCTCTATTTTACACTGCAAAACTATTTGAACTGAGGGACAAGACAATTTGATGTGGCCTGTGGGGAAACTCACCATTTTGTAAAAAGCAACACAGAAAAGAAAAAAAAAGATTCCTGTGACAGTGATTATTTTTTTCTGTGATAAAAGACAACAACATGAAACTGTAATCTCCAATGTCCTTCAGGGTGGTCTCTGTTGGGTGTTTGCCTGTCAGGTCACGGTCAGGGAATGAAACCCACATGTAGTAGTTGCATGTTATCGCTGACAAACCCCGAGAGTGTCTAAAAAAGAAAAGTAAATGCCGAATGTGACACTTGATTGAAAGTATGTAAGTATTGTTGCCCAGAAGCATTTGCAGTGATGAATAAGAATACGTTAAGTGTTGTTACAGATGGAAACGTTCAGCCTCGCTGGATGAGTCATGAGGACAAATGTTGTAAATTCTTCGGAAACACTTCTGTGTGTCCAACAAGCAGCTTTCAGAGACACTCGATTTATTTAAAGGGACACTAATATTCCATGAACCAGATTAAGACAGTCTGAAAAAGACACTGACATGTAAACAACATTGTCTGATTATCTGAGGTTGTACTCATAATAAACAATAAGACATGTGGTGTATCTGAGCTTCGTCACATTGTGTTGACACGTTCACACATTCTAACATCTTTTCACAGTTACCAACTGTGCAATGTGCGCATGATTGAGTATAAACAAGTAGTCGAACATAATGTTGACGAGAGTCATAATCAGACCATGTAACATGTAAATATGAATGAAATATTATTATAGCAACTCGTCATCAAAATAATATCTCATTATATCTGACAGATAGGAGGTAGGAGGCTTGGATTACCATGAAACCTGGTAGAGGGATGCAGAGTAGGTCAGTTAGGAAACCATTAAAGTTTGATGTGGACTCGGATCAGAAGGCTGGTTTCGGATTTTTTTGTTTTCCACTTCCTTTAACATTGCGAGGCCTTTGTTTTTACTATTTTCATTGATTTGCCAGTGGATAATTCACAGAT